TGTCCGAGAAATAATTATTATCGTCGTTCGGGGGAACTTTCGCGAACAGAATAGACAAACTGATCACGAGCGTCTGTCTCTTCAAATATATATTCCTATTCCATTATATTTTTTGAATGCTCAAGAAATTCATTGAGATTGAATAAAATAATAGTATTGTTTTCAAATGCAAATGTTTAATCTTCCTTTACAAATCAATAGAAAGGAATTAACGGGTGTTTTTATCTTAATCAAGTATGGCTCTATTATATCGCATATACTTAATTTTATATAAAAAGTAAGGACATGAAATATAATGTAATTAATGATCCATTAAAAAAAAATGAATAGTATAAAATTTTACTCTAGTCCCAAAGATAAGATAAACTTCGAAGATTAAATAATTATTTAACAAGTTTGCGCTAAAGTAAATGTAATTATGCGGAGGAATGATGATTAAAATACTACTTAAAGAGTAAATATGTACTGTATTGAGGTATAGAACTGTTCATCTATTTATTATACTTCCGTTGCGTTAACTAAGCACTCAGCAAGCAGCAAGAAACTTTTATCCGTCCTATAGGTCCGTTAAAATTATTCTCCTTTTCCTGTACGGTTTTAGCGGTTATATATATAAAGTGAGAAAAACACTAGACAGGCAGAAATGCAGTTTCGTCCGCATGTGTAGTAAGAGCTGACGCAAAACTTTTTGCATTAGTCGCAAGCATGTCATCAAGAAACGCACATGCGTTATTTTATGATTTCAGGAGTTACATATATATTACTCGAAGAAAGTTACAACTTGCCAACAAAGGACGCGCTTTATTACTTCCTTGAAAAAAAATACTCAACAATTTTTCAATATTTTTATCAGACTCTAAAGAATTTTTTTTTATTATACGGAAAAGTTTGGCTTATACTATTAAAGAAGAATAAAGTACTATATGCTGAGACGGAATTAGAAGGTCAAATTTGTAATTATGTTCTATCGAACCAAAAAAGGTAACGCTTTTTTTATCCATTTTATCCATAGAGGAAATAAGGATTAGAGGCGATTGAGTTAATTAAAAGTCTCGCATAGCGAATGTTTAATTTACACTGACTGATGAATATCGCTCAACTGATGTATTACATTCGATTAGTACGCTTATATACAGATCATTCTTGATCTATCGCCCACCCACATCATCAATAATTGTACATAAACACATATGTATATGCGGCGATGGAACACTTGTTCATAAGAATTTCTTCATACATAGTGTACATAGTTACAGACACATTTGTAACAATGCCTAACGACCATTTAATACCATTTGCCTTCTTCTTCTTCTTCTTCTTCTTCTTCTTCTTCTTATTCGTATATTCTCCTCCTCTTGCCAATTAGGTATTGAGGCTTCTCAATAACATTATTTTGATAGAATTGCTTTGAACACTTTGTTAGTGTACTCACCCACTCGCCATTGCTCGTTATTTTAAATCATGATTTATTCGACACGCGCTGAAAAAGATTTTATCGCTTCTTATATGCTTACTCAAGGAAATCATTTGGTAAATGTGACGTCAACCCACTGTGACGTTTCATCCATAAAAGGGTAAGGAATTGCACTATTTCTATAAGAGCTATGCAACAAAAATTGACAATTCTCTTTGTTCAATGCACAATTTGAAACTATTTTGGATTGTATATCAATTTCCAAGAAAAAGATATAGATTGCTAGTGAAAGGGGGAGTGAGATACAACTAGGTCAACATGTGTTTAAGAAAAACATCAGAAAGGGCCAATTTGGAGCAAGGGAGAAGAGGCGAAACTTTAACGCTCGCTTTAACGAAAGAAGAGATGTTAAATGGGTCAAGGGAAGTGTACAATCAGGTCTGGTAAAATAAGCATAGTTAATTTTACAAACAAAAAAGCAAAGCTTATTATCATTCCAATTTGTTTGCGAGTCCAAACGAAAAAGGAGTCGAAAGGAAAAGTTGTAGTTTCCGCATAGCTCTTCTTGGAAGGCACTAAAAGCCCAACTACATACAATATGGCAAACGATGAATTACAGGAATTAGATGGCCATTTGGCTTACGGAGTGCAGAAGTAAAAGTCATTGGACTCGACAGTGGCGGTTGGACTTTTGGTTCCGGAAGAGGAGGATTTATTAAGGAACAAGATTATGCATTATTCTCGAAATTAAGGATTGTCGTCCTCAAGTCTCAAGTGCATCCATTTTTGGGCTGTTGCTCGCGCATCGCTGAATCGAGGTAGTGTGTCATTCTAAAAATAGGAGTTGAAACCGAGCGCAAGGAGTGCCTCCATAGTCTCGGTCGTGAACCCGTGGAACGGCCTCGGAGAAACGTCGGGGGGAGATTAAATTAAACAAGCTGCCGCAAAAGACTTGACTTCATACCACGGACACGGACCATCAACGTGCTATCTGAAGGGATAACAACTATTTTAAATATCGCATTTAGAAAAAGCGCGTTCGCGTTCACGTTCGCGTACGCACGTGCGCGCTACCAACAACTTCACTACCGAAAGTGAACAGCATTCGGCATGCGCACTACGCCTCCACTCCAAAAGATTTAACAAATATTATCTCATTTCTGGAATTCCGAGCTTGATTCGATCCTTCCCATTCGCAAATGAATCATTAGAAGTATGCTGTCATCTGAGAATCAAAGTTTCCTATCTCTTACCATCCCAAAATATTTTTTAATTCTTTCTCTGATTATGTTACCGTTCTCTTTACAAAAAAACATAGGTACACAGCTTTTCTAAGGATATCAAATTCAGACAAAAAACGAATTAATAGTGTTGCGAAGCAACATTTTGATTTGTTTTTTGTCTCAATTTGATATCCTTAGAAAAACTGTCTAGTAATTTTAAAAGAGTAAAAACGACCTTGCCACAAAAACTACTCCTTAAATACTTAGGCGTTTAGTCAAAAGAAAGTATAATTTAAAAAAAAGTCTAAAACTTATCGTACAAATCATCTAAAATGTTACTTTTTGCAATAAAAATACATGTACAATAAACACTAATTTATAATATCAACGTCAAAACAATTTTGTTCATTAATCCCTTAATGCACACTCGAACCACGCTCTTTCATCCTCAAGGTCGATACACAGCCCACCTGGCTGTTATCCTGGTTTAACTAACCAAAAGCAAAGAATTTTATTATCTTTGCAATCTACATTTTTCCCGTACCGAACCGTTAATGAAAATAACGACTAATCTAAAAATATCGTAAATATATTCATTTTCTCCTCATACAAATATAAATATATAGCACATGCACGAACATTTATGAACATATTTTCAATTTATGAACTTCTTTTCTTTCTCAATAGTTGGAAATTTTACTATACTTTCAACTCTAAAGTTGAACAACAACATTCCATTCTTTAAAAAGCAATTATGAATTTGAATAAATTTCTTTTTTTATTAACCAAGTTTCAAATTTCGTTTTGAAAATACTTGCGGCTTAATGCACAAATACCATCGGGCGGAACAGCTAATAATAGGAGTTTGGCTTCCACGCCAAACGTCTGCTTGCAGCTTCAGCCAAAGATATTAGAAATTCAGAAATATGTATAATCTAATTTTATGACGTACCTAAGTGCGAGTCAAGCATGTGACAGAACAATCCTTTGGAATAATAACTTATTTTCTGAACATTCAAGTCTTTGCTAATTTGAACATTCAAATTTACGTTCTCCAGTAATTTGCGTATTTCTATTCCAAGACGAATTTTCGCTGATTTTCCCAAAACTAGGACTTTTATATTAATCTGCCGAAAAATGGACTAATTTTCTTTATCATGTAGTTCTATTTTTCCCTCACATTTTTTTTGTTTTCAATTCGAACGACATTAGTTCAACATAATTCAAACTATTTATAAACAAATCGTTTCGTAAACATACTGTTTTATTATTCCAAAGAGGAGGAATTCCATGAAAGTTTCAGCTGTTCAAATAAAAAACCACTTCTCGTTTAAAGAGATGTTAATATTGTCAATATTGAAAATTTACGAATAAATTTAACAAAAATTTCTAGAGTTTGTGCTTCACAACAAATAATTAAGAGAATAATGCGTTTTTTGATAAAAAAAACCTATAAGATCCTATAAAAGAATACTAATTTTTAGAAGTAATTACACAGAATTGATAATATTATGGTTTACGTATTAAGAATTAAGTCCTTATAAAATGCACCTTGAATAATTGAATTTCTATACGTGAAAATCCTTGGCCTGTTTTGGTTAAAATATGAATTACAAGAAATGCCGATATTTGCCGAACGAATAAATTTGCCTGAAGTGCAGGCACTCAATGCGAGTATATTGACGTGTCGATATGTGTGTACTTGAAATATATAATTAGACACTTTTGCCCATCAAAGTGTATTAGGACTCAGACAAAACACTCGAAGAGATCTTGATAGACGTATGCATCTTTATAGCAACACATTTCTGCACTGCGATTTCTATGTAAATAGTAATCGTATGTACAGATATTTTAGAGTTAGTAGAAAGTCCCTATAAATAAACAGACTTTCATGGAAAACCTTTAATATTACTCTTCAATAAATATTCGAAATCACCAATAACTCCATTTTGTGATTTTCGAAAAATTTTATGAAAATTGTGTTTTAAATTCAATGAAAATTATAACTGATGTCTATTAGTGAGACTCAGATTTAGAGAAAATATAGCAATCATTAAATAAATGTTAATGAATGAAAAGACAAGTTTATTAGCATTAGATACATGTGCTTGAGTTAAATGTTTAAATAACTTCACGTTATAAATATTAAAACTTTTTGTCAATGAAAGGTAAATGACCATCGCCTAAGCATCAGGATTTGGCAACGTTATCTTTTTTAAATTTAGAGACAGGTTCAATAATCGAAAGTACATTGTTCGATGTCGCAAGAAAAACAATTATATTCCTAAAATAATATCAAACTATAAACAAAACCAAAGCAATGCATCTTCATTACCTGAACTTGAAATTTTCTGTTTCAGATTCCAGACACCTTAGAATGGCCGAATTAGGGACAAAGAAATCCATGAATGTCGTAAGTAAACAGAATAACGAAGTGTGCAGTGTTCTTTCTAACAACAGTTTGATTGATTTGGATAACATAAGCACGAGTAATAATCAATTAATTTCCCTTTGCGATGACGATGAAGATGAGGATGAATTGATTTTATCCAATAATACAAAAAACGAGCTCAACACTGACGACAAAAGTCTTCAGGAATTGATAGAAAATGAATTAGCCCTCAGGATTTGTTCTGGAAATAATGAAGAGGAAGAAATTGAAGAAGAAGATGATGAGGAGGACTCCATTAAAGTTCAGCCGGAAATTAAAAAAATTGTTCTCGCACCCAGACCAGATCCACTTGATGTTAATGAAGAATTTCTCGTAGCCGAAATAGATCATTATTCATTAATTGAAGAACCGTATGGTTACCAAAATGGCCACACAGAATCGAATCCAAAGAATCAATTCAGTACAGATGAGATGCTTGAAGATAAGGTCGATGAAGTGAACTTTCAAAATGATGAAATGCTCTTGGAATCAGAAGTTCGACTCGGGCAAAAAGAAGAGATTTCATCAGAACAATTTGATGAATCGAAAAATTCCCAGTCTCCAGAGGATCAAGTGCCAGTTATCAATGGAACAACCGATGTAGTTGAGGCAATCGCCAATCATACCAACGAAAACGAGGAAGAGATAGTCCAAAATGAGTCAAACATGGAAAATGTTGAGATTGTCCAAGAAGACAATTTCTCAGATCTTCCAGAAGCTGATAGAAAAATAGTCCCCAATCCCTGGTCAAATGTAAATACAGAAAATTCGATAGAGACTTGTCAGAAAAGTGGAGATTTCTCAGATGATTTTCATCACGTTCTCAGTGAAAATTCAACAAATGATAGTCCCTCCCACAAACCAGAAGAAGACACATATCTTCCTAGTCTTGATTTGGGAGAGGAAATATCGTCCAAGGAGGCATCAGGAATTGACGAGAAAGACTGCTCTCCAAATAAAGATACTTGTGAACTATTTCCAGAAAACAAGTTCGAAATGGAGCACAAAGTTGAAAAAATTATCGATAACAATGAGTGCCTTCCTGATACTTTTAAGACTGATGTCAACGTTTCGTACCATGATGAAGAAATAAAAAAAGCCGAACCCGAAGACTGTGCTTCCAAAAATTTCACCTGCAATACAGTGCAGAATGGAATGATTAATGGTACGAATTTCAAATCTCCGGATTTTGATTCATGGACTACGGTCGAAGCTGCCACGAGGGAAGAAAATGGGCTAGAAACTAACACTTGTCAAAACAATGAAATTGAGAATTTTAAGGAGGAAAAAACAGATGATCAAAATTGTAACGAAAAAACAGATGAAAAAGTAGCTCCAGTTGTTATAATTGATGGCGGAAAGAGTGATGAATCTAGTTCCGATGACGTAAGTTATGCTTTTGCTTTTAATGTTGCTTTAAAAAGTGTGACGCCCTCCGAAGAGAGATAACTAAGAAGTAGTAAATCATTCTGTTATTTTTACCAAAAATTAAACACAGCCTACAATTTTTTGCTCCTCTCTTTTTTGGAGAGCGTTACATATTTTCAAAAATCATGTTATTTCTATTATTATTTTTTACAAAGAAAAAGAAATAAAAATTCATATCCTCATTTTTGTTTTTACGTTTCAAAAAGAATGACAGAAAATATTGTCTGTACTAAAATAAAATGCATAACATGATTTTTCTCTCGTACTCGCATTAAGATAGTATATCTGCAGACTTGTTCAGATCAGGCAGAAAATTCGGATGTCGAATATCTTACGATAAGAGGTAAGATTGATAGTCCTGTGTTGTACCGTTTGTCGATATTAATCAGCACGATTGTATATGTATTGTGTTGAACGTATAACATATACTGATACACGAATAATGTCCTTCAGTCTTTGAAGCACAAAAATTTTCTTTTGTGACTTCTTTATACCTTCAATAATTATAAATAAGTTGTTGTTGTTGTTGTTCCTAAAATTGATTTTAAATTCAGGTTAATGAATAAGAAACATAAAAATTAACTCTGATATTCATAAAAATTAAGACCATCAAATGGCATTGACATAAATGACAATTCCTTTTAATTTCCCCTGGTGTAGCGTACCGAGAAAAGTAATTGCGTGACTTCTTCTGAGACTCACATAGAAATCGGTGACTTTCTTTTAGGGAAATCATAAAAACTTCTAAATATATTTTAATTTTGATCTGATTTCTAGTTAATGGATACACTATTATTTAACTTTAGAGAGAAATTGGGTTCTAATCAGATTGTGTAGGAACGTATTGTTAAATTACAGAGGAAATAGTATTATTACATATCTGTACTATCGAGATTATGTTGCGGAAAGTTGTGTTCTTAATAACGGTTATAGGCGAATTATTTATTATTATATTGAAGTGCTTGATAAATTAAATATGGCAAATGTAATCGAATCGTTAATTCAGATAATTGATTGCTGACAGCTATCGGGTTATTCAAGGTCATAAATTTTGCTATGGTCCAACCATTTGTTTTATGATTTTTTTAATAAATTGTGTACCGTCATTTATGCTTTCAATTCTTATTGAAAAATAGTGTTTGCAGAAGCTGACACTGGAGATGTTGTTTCTTGTCTCTTAATCATGCTTTATTACATTTTAAAATTATTTTTTTCAGTATTTGAATTTTCTTTTTTTTCAAAATTTAATATCGATTCTGTTTATGAAGACCTAGGAATTTTTCTAATCTTTGGAGAAATGGTTAACCATTTCAAAGCTTTGAAACCTAGAATTTGAGTTGTAGGAATATTCTCGAATGCATGAGGTGTGTATTAGAAAAAATGCTAGCGGGAGTAATAAACTGTTATCTTTTTTATTCCCGGTTAATATTTAGTTATCGTTGAGAGGCATATGAGAAAAGCGGGGACCATAGAGTACAGACATAGGCCCATCTCATATGGAGCGATATTCCGATCTATTGAGGTCACGAGTCTGAAATCGGCCAATCCTCGCCGCTGCCATGCCAATGTATCGTGCTCGGTTCAGGCCCTCGAGTCTTCCCTCTCCTTGGCAGTGGCTCTCTCCAGCGGACCCCGCAGCCTAACCAATCTGCTGCTCGAGTCCTAGAGAAAGGCCCTATCCTCTCTCGGATTTTCACTTGGATCCATAGCACGCTTTGTAGAGCTCACGAACGGGTTTCCTGGTGCTTCCCGTTCGTTTCGTATACGTTACCAGCCCATTTAATCGCCTCAAGGCCGATTTAGTTGCGGCGTCGCCTTCGTCCAGGCACCCGGTTCTATCAGGTTGTTCGCCCTAACCTCCTCGCAGTCTACGACCGGAATCGAATGACGTTTAAAATTGCATTCCCTGTGGTGGTCGACGATTTCTTTATTTTAGTTTAACAAGTTTGTCTTTTTCTTTATTCGTTCGCCGAGAGAAGTTTTCAAGAAAATGCTTTCAACGACCTCGTTGTCCGAATGGAAGTGAGTGCGTCGAGTCGTTGACTCGTCGTTAGTGCTCCACGTTCATCGTGCACACTTATCGTTTGGTCACACAGCAGCCACGAGTCTTGAGACGCAGGTCAGTGCGAAGCAATAAATAGACGATGAATATTTAGCATCTTCGCATTGCAGTTGCATGGAGGGCTTTAATGATATCATTTGGCACAAGCTCGTTATGGTAACTAGCGGGCACTAGCGAAAGCCGTGGGCATTCCAAGGGATGGATGTTCGGTTAATTGCAGGAATTCGTGTGGCATTAACAGATTAACTATTATCAAAAGTAACTAGATAATGCCACATTCTGAGAAAATGTGACATCAACACTGGTTAATGTCGATATTAGACTCATTAGGATCTGTACCATTAATTAACATCCCTGGGACTTTAGAAGTGTTTCTATCAATCCATATAATAATTTTAATAATAAATATTACAAACACGTGTTGAATTTCAAGTCATTGTTCAAGTAATTATAGAAGAAGTTGTGGGAATGTGGGAAGAAGTTGCTTTTTAATAGAGGAATGAAAACTGTACGATTACCACCTACCGTAAATGCAGTTTGAAAAGTTTTTTAATTAGTCAGGGCATACAACTTGAAGAGGGGACTAAAATGATATTCCACACTTTTCTCTGTTTACTTTTTATAAGAATCAACAATATCTATTTCGATTATAGTAAAAGAAAGAAGTAGTTTTCTTTCTAATTGTGTATCTGTTAATTATAAATTAAAAAATGTAATTAATGGTGAAAATAAATTATCATCTTTTCTCATGCAGAGTGAAAACCGTGAAGAGGTGTTAACTACCAGCACGGTAGTTACCTCGACTTCAACTACAAAAACCGCGACGAAGACGAAGAAGAAGAAAATCGAAGGTATTGCTGGTAGCGATGCATCGCCAAATCACACCCCTCGAACCAAGAAAACTAAGAAAAGCAAAAAAAGTGAACTTGAAAAGGAAAACATCTCCGTGGTGAGTGAAAAATTCTTTAATTTTCATTTAACGATTACTATTAAACATTACACCGATTAGATCAACTAAAATACCAGAAAACTAAATCACCAGAAGTAAGAAAATCATCAAATTTTAAAAGGTATGATTTCCTTTACTTTCCTCCGATTTTGATTTTAATGAACTTTGTTAAATAAAAGTTGTTAACATTAACAGAAACTATTAATTTTTCTAAGAATATAAAAAAATGAATCAGTGTTTTTTTTCTTAGAAAAACTAATTTTTTATAAAGAATATTCTTTAGTAAATTATTTTGAAACTTGTCGAACCGATCTCCCTTTTTTTGAAGTGTTATTTGCGCTTGAAGAATAAATGTGTTGTTAGAAGAAATTATTTTGCAAAGTGTAGCATGCCAGTGAATGCTTTGTTTTACTTCTTTTTATTAGAACGGTAACGTAGAAGATCCAAGCATGCATACGAGTTCCCGTCAAGTTTCCGCGGAGACAAATGAAATCTCCGACGAGAACGATCTTTCCAACGTCAACGTTAAATCGCTGGTAAGCCGGAATGCCAGAAGTTAGAGGAAATTAGCAAAGTTTATTTTGCATGAGCCTGGCAATAAATTTACGTTTGCGAGATGAAATGTGTCTTTTTAACGTCTCATTGACGACCATGGGATTATCAGAAAGTTTCGTTTAAACTGCGACTGTGCATCAATTAAACTCTTATAACTTTTGTCAAAAACTTAACATTTTTATTCCGGATGGTAGATTTAATTAACCATAAACTAAAGTAGCAATAACAATATCCGCACCTTAAACAAAACTTTCTGTTCTACTTTTCTTTTCTTCACTTTTGTTCACTTTCGTTACATTAAAATTTCTTTCACAATTGTTTTTATTTCTTGTAAAACTGTAGTTTTTCTTTTATTTTTAAAATCATGTAAATGGATTCCTGAATAATTGCAGACCTTTTTTTTTTTGCTAAATTATCGTTAATTTACTTTCTGTTATTTCTTAAACTAACTTTTCTATACGCATTTAAATAATCATTTATCTCAGCACATAACAAAACTAAATTTACAGAGCATGATTTATAAAACTCCGCATGAAGTAATGTTCTGATTTTTTGTCATGTTTGTGCGCATGCAGACACAAAATTACGTGTCAGAAGCGAATCGTAGCGAACTGGAGAAATCCCACAAAGAAGTAATTGCTACTGGAATCTCTATTAAGCAATTGGTGAGTAATTAAAAAAATAATTTTTTAAATAATTTTACTCGACATAAATTATTTATTGCTTTAATGCACGTAAAAATAAAAGAAAAACATAATACCTATCTCGTTTGCTAAATTAAAAAAAATCTTTTTTGACTGCAAAATATTTTAGACAATTGAAAGTCATTATTCATATTAAAATAAGAAGTGCGATTAATCTTAGACATCTGATAAGGATATAATTTGTATCTCATATGTGTTGTTATAACCGATAGTATCGCAAAAACTTTCTATCGTGTTTTATATCATTTTATATCGTGCTTTAAATCTACTTTTCGTTATGCTTTAACTTCACTCCGTGCTACTATCTATTTATCAACTTGAATTTTTCGATTATTATTATATTGTTTCTATTAATGCTTTATAAAAAATTTGTCATAAAAAAAGAAGTTTCAATGACAAAGCAACAAGTGCAATTTATGCTTAAGTGCTGAAATCTATAAGCTTTATTTAATTAATTTAATTTAATTTCATATAATTTGCTTCACTGTTCGTGTTTACCCAAAATGTGTTTTATGACTAACAGTGTCGCAGCTTTGGCGACATCTCAAACATGAGCGATGGAGACCAAGTGCCACTCGGCAATTCTGAACACGCCAAGACTCAAGAGGTTGGTATTTTATGGTTTCTTCATCAAACAAGTTTGAAATGATATGTTTTTCCAAAACTCGAAATTTTTTTTTCTTACAGAGATTTTAAAGATCTTTTTTTTCAATATAGGTGTATTATGAAAAAAATTAATTACCAAAAGTAATCAAAATATTTAGCTCCGCCTTTCTGATAAAATATTTGTGTATCTGCAATTTTTGATGAAAAATAAGACTGAACTAGATATACACCTTATTTTAAAAATGGGTGAGAAATATCAATGAAAATATTTTGTAAACAAAATTGTACTAATATTCAAAATTTTCCAAGAAATTGAATATTTTTTTAATAAAAATTTCATGCAATTCAATGAATTCAATCAAATTTTGACAGGTCAAAGATTTGAAAACAAAAGATAAAAGTTTTATTTGTTTTAAACACTTATTGTCTACACTACAAATACACCAAAAAATTTTCCAAAATTAGCAAAATAAATAAAATTGAATAGTCTTTATATTATTATTTCGTAACTTCTTGTAAAATTAAGAAAAAATTTTTATATTGAACTAGAGTTTTTTTTAACGCATGTCTTATGGGTAATTTTTCTTAAATTGCAAATATTTATTTACTTTATCAAGAAGAAACGATATGCTGCTTAGAGAAAAAATATAATTCTTGAGGTCATTTGATTTAGACCTTTCATGCTCGAAAATTGATATATCTGTAGTTTGTTTGCTTTTTCAACTAATAAATTTGACCAATATTATTGCTTAATTTTAATAAATATTAATATACTACTTGGGTTTCTTCATTTGAAGGTTACTAAAAAGAATGTTTTGGAAATTCCGAATTTCTACATTAAATATACAATACATTGAACACTGTGAATTTGTCATAAAAAATTTAATTTTAAAAAATTCTACAAGCATTGTTAATTTAGTTTTTTAATTATTTTATGAAATATAAAGTCTCTTAATTTTAATTAGTTAAAAAAAACAAATTTGACTTGATAGTAAAAATTTGTCACTGATTCAAATAGATTGATAAAAAAAATCCACTCATTCAAAAAAAAAAATGTTATTACTAATGAAAAATAGTTAATAATAACTAATAATTATTAGTCAGGGTTGACACAAAAATTTCCCTTTTTTCCCTGAATTTTCCTCGATTTGTAATTAAAATTTCAACTTTTTCCCTTTCCCTAAAGAATATTCTGATTAACTCTAGAAATGATTAAATACACAAAAAATAAAAGTCCCTGAAGTTATAGTGTCGAAAACTATTAATTATAGTTTGTTTAGAAACTAAAATGTCACTAATTTAATTCACATGTTTTATACTTTTTGTAATTCAATTACTTACAAAAATTGTTAACACAACTCTTTTTAAATTAAATTATTTTTGAAATTTTAAAGTAAAATTATTTGCTTGATAGTTTATAAGTAAATAATTTATTATATTTTTTCAATAATTAAATTATTTGAAATAAATTCAATTCTATATTCGGTATGTAAAATTCAATTTATTATTGTCAGAAATAGAAAAAATTTCAAGTTTTATTTGAAAATTCGTAGATTTCAAAGATTTATGAGGCACTCTCTAAATTTGAAATAGTATAAATGCTTACTAATTTGAATTGGTGACTGACTATTTACTAATTCAAAAGCGAAAAGTCTGCCACTAACTCCAAATAGTAAACATTTTTACTAATTCAAATTTAGAGATGAAAACAAAAAAATCAGGAAGAATTAGTCATTTATTAGTTTAGTTATTTTTTACCAATTGATAGAGCAAAAAAAATCAGCCAAAAATTTACTAATATTTAGATATTTTTAACTAATTCAGATTTAGAGAGAAATAATTAAAATGTTAAATAACAAAATAGTGTCATATTTAGATTTTTATCAAAGAACAACAGATTTTTTACACCTCGATGCTCTTAACAGTGTTTAGTGTAATTGTTACAACTTATTCCTACAAAATTAACATATTTTGGCTGCTAACTTTAATTTACATAGTTTGATTAATGACATTAGAGTGAATCTTAACCCGTGTGGAAAATGAAAATTGGTCCTAGCCAGGTCCTACCTATTTTGCCCTGTTAATAGCTTGGTCCTAGGTTGGCAGTGTAGGTTGGACCAACAATGGGTGGTGATGCGATTCTAGCCTGGTCCTAACTTGGGAGCCTAGTTAGGACCAGTTTATGGGTCCATTTTAGGACCTAGAAAGGACCATCTCAGGCAGTATTTTCTATTTCATTATAATTTTAATTAGTTAATAATATTTGTTAAAGAAATAACCTAAATTATTAATAATAAGTATTAGTTTTAATTAATTATTATTTTTTTCAATTAAGTGATGACCAAAAGCGAATTCATAAATAATGTTAGTATATGTAGAGATTAATATATATTCCTCTAATATATACATTAAAAATTATAAAAAAAATTAGAAATTTGTTAATTAAATTATTTTACAGTATATATAATCATTAAATTGCATACTTATACGAATACAATGCAGAAAAATCGGAATAAACGCAAACCTAAGAAGTAAATAAAATCTAACGCACGCGGGAATCGAACCTACGACCTACGGACTACGAGACTAACGCCCTAACCACTATGCTAATGAAACTAGTTGAGATCAAAATTTTTATTGTCAGTGACTTGTGGACTTGCTTTTGATGATTCAATATAGTAATTATTGACACTAATACACAATAATAAATAAAAAAAATAGTTTAACAACAACAATAATAATAAAATAATATCCAAATATAAAAATTCAAAAATTAATATTTTTATATTATATCAAGAAAAAAAATATCTATACATTTTCGTTAAAAACAGGTTTTTCATTGTTCTCAATCATTTTTAACATTAATTTCTTGGTCTAAAAAAATATTCGTCTTTTGGACTTGGAAATTTTTCCTAATTAATTAAGCGGGTGATCCACTTTTTAAAAAAATGTCAAAAAAATTTATGTTAAAAACACGTTTTTCATTATTCTAAATCATTTTAAGCATTAATTTTTTGTTGCAAAAATTTTTTTAGACTTGGACTTAGAAATTTTTGCTAATGAAACTAGGAAGCCCAGGTAGGTCCTGGGTTGGACCTGGGTGGGTCAGCCCACATTTGAATTGCAATATCTCTTAGTGTTTAGCACCAACTTAAACGAAACTTAAAATCAGCGAACGAAATTAGAAATATATTTTACTAATGATAATTATATTGCAGTCTGTATCTGTTTAAATAAATAAATAAATTTTGCTGTTATATTAACTTTTGTAACAAATTACTTAAAAATTTGCAGTTTTTATCTAACTTCGCGATTATTACACTTGAGTAGTGAAATATGAAGATAATTTATAATTTTAACAATTCAGCATTTGTTTAAACAAAAAATTGTTGTTATTTATTAATTCTTAAGACAATAAAGCGTCTAGACACTTGTAGTCTTTTAAAATTTTGCAATTAACTAATCTGAGTATTTACTTATTGCAAAATTAGAAAAAACTGCTAGTTTCTAGGTTGATTGTGTAAAAAGTTAGTAAATAACAATTATTTGTTTAAACAATTGCTGAATTAATAAATTAATAAATTAACTTTATTTTATAGTATTTGTATAATTTTCTGATTTATGTCAAACAATAAATTGTTTAAACAAATATGATTATCAATTAATTTTATAAATATTAATTGAGAATATTTATCAATTTTTACATGTTTTTCATGTATCAATTTTGACACTTTATTTTCCTAAAAATTTTTCTAAGTCATAACTGGATCTCCTAGCTAGTACCAAGTTAGGACCAGCCTAGGATATATAAAAAGGGGTTGCCAAGTTAGGTCCAAGCTAGGGCCAATAATCATTTTAGGCATAGCATGGTGATTTCTACACGGGAACTGTAATCGTTTTTCCATAACATATTTTGCTTTTTCTACTAATTTACAATTTGTCGATATGTTTGAATGTCTGTATCGAACTTCATAGAAAGCTAAATCTATGAGCGACTTGAGACTGTGGGAGCAGGAGCGTTCGCAGCTCGTCAATCGCAAACCCATATACACTGGTGTGTCTGTCAAAGCGCTCGTAAGTACCTTCAGGCTTCAAGTGGCAAATCTTTCAGAATACTTTGCTTTTTATCTTTTATTTTTTTCTTCAACTATTGGCGGCGAGACAGTAATTATTCCTCGAGAATATCTCACTTCTCATTGGATTTTTTATTTATCGCCTTTTAGTTGTAAATAAAAAATCCAATGAGAAAAAAATATTCTTTAAATTCTTATTTTTAATTATTTTCCATCATCTCGCAGAAATTGAAAATTTTGTTTTAATTAAGGATGTGACCTTTACGATAATTATTTATTTTAGAAATATACTAAATTCACTTGGAATCAGTAAATAGTATATAAGTTAATTTGTAATGTGGCACTTATACTTGTAATTAAATATGCATAATTTCTCATTATACGCTTTCGCCAGAAGTTAACGAACCGTCCTTTTTTCTTTTAAATTGCACCTTAAAGTCTGAATGGTGAACATTTTACTTCCATTTGCGTCGAAGGATTGGCTTTTTATATGTCTTTGTGCACACTCCATTCGTTTGTTGCTACTATTGTTTTGGCAGTAACGCTGAGACTGCGGATACATTTTAGGAAATCTGCTTTATGGGCCCTATCACACTGCCTTTACATTTCGTGCTTTTACATTCTTTGTACTCTTGTTTCCCAAGCACCTCACCTTTCCCTAGACAATAAATTCCTACCTTCCATAAATGTGAAAATTTCGTGAAATTGCATTAAAAGCAATTATCTGATTTCATATAATAAAAAGTCGATATTACATTTACAATAGTGCACAAAGTAAATTTATTTATATCACAGTAGTTGAAATTGCAAACTAGATTTTTTGTTAATCTTCAGTTCAAATATAGTTTGTATCTAGACAAATTTTGAAAATTTAAATATTTTCCATTTTGTATCAATAAAAAGCTGTAGGTTACAAATGATGCAGCTGAAATTGTAAATGTATATTTTAAGACTTTCACTTTACATGAAATGGGAAGAGACTTCGAACAACTTTTCAAGTCAACTGACCGCTACATCCTTATACTCAAATTACTGGTGATACTTGCCTATTACACACTAACAAGTCACTGCTTTTTCTCTTTTTTGCTCCACATACGTGCATGAAATTGGTTTATATGGTCTACAAACAGAGAGCTTCCTACTGTAGTTTGGCTAATCTAACGGAATGTGGTAAGGAGAAGGTCCAATCAAACGAAAATTTTTACTATAAGGTAAAATTTTATACTAAATATAGTCAATCTTTCACCCAATAAATCAAAATTTTATAAAAATAAGTTAGACAATGAAAATTATAACAATGCACTTAGAAAAGAATTTATTTGAATGAACCACACATAGTTCACACACTGTTAATCATCTGATATCAAATTTAAACCAATTCAATTCCTTTTCAGGGAATAAAAATACAATTTTGAATTTATGTTAATTTAATCATTCATCCGTTTCAGAAATCAAGTTTCAACAAATTCGATGCTCTTAGCAAAAAGTCTGTTCTTCACGTTCGATCAGTGGACGCAGGAAAAGTTCAGCAACAGCTAAATGCCGTGAGTTTAATTCAGATAATTATATGGGTGTAGAAACTAAATTGGCAATCATTTTAACTCAAGTATTATGGTTAGGCAATCAGATTTGAGTTCGTCTGCATCGAATCGAATCTATTGTTCACACAGGAAACGGTGTAAGGTGCATCGCTTATGCTGTGGTAATCAGATGCACGAGATTTGATTGCGAATTATTTAACTCCTTATAACCTTTCGTACATTTTTTCCCCGAGGTATAAACCTCACAAAGAACTAACTTTTTCGTTTTCTCATTTTCATTATTCTATTTTGAAAATCCAAATTTCAAAAAAAAATTAAGGTATATTTTCATTCTGTCAATGTTCAAGAACATGCACTATTAGTGAAAGTTTCAAAATCTCAAGATTTATAATTCTTTCTGTACATGAATATTTAAAATTGTCTTAAAAGTAAAAAAAAGAAACACTACATTTATAAGTACATGTATTTTTCCAAGCAAATGAAAGGTATAATAATATATCAATATAAAGACCATTATATGAACTTTCTAAAAAACACGAGTTTTTCCCCATTAAATTAAAGAAACCCGACAGTTATAATTGACAATGAAAAGAAAGATAAGCTCCTTTGAATGCGTGTAAATCTGATGTTGTTTTATACTGGAAAATATTCATCGGGAGGACTGACACTCTCGCGACAAGCTCGTCGTCGATTTATAAGTCTGCTTGAATGCACCGTTTCTCGTGTGTTATTTTCAAGTGGAAAACAAATGGATTTGTTTACGCATGTGTATACATATATGAGATGAAACGCCAGTAGTTGTCCCGTTGAAAACTGGTTTTTGCTTTATGGGAATATGGTGAAACTAGGAAAGAAGGAAAGAAGCAATCGTTAATATATTGCGCGGTTATGACGGTAAATTATTGTCTTTTCAAAAATTACAGGTAGGCCAAAACGGTGATGCGAATCCAAACTGCCGCAGTTGCGGGAAGGTTGTATTTCAAATGGAACAAACCAAGGCTGAGGGTCTAATTTGGCACAAGAACTGTTTCCGATGTGTTCAATGCAGTAAACAACTTAGCGTTGACAATTATCAAAGCCACGAAAGTACACTTTACTGCAAGGCCCACTTTAAGGAACTCTTTCTACCTAAACCAGTCGAGGAGTCAGATCAACCTGGTAAGTTCCTTCTCAATACGAAATTAAATTAATCTGTTAGATTTGATAAAAAATAAATTATAATTAAATTTAGTGCTTTAATTTTTAAAGAAAAGACGGCAAGGTTACAAATGGTACAGTACTGCTACCCTACATACTAGATGAAAGAATACTAAAAAGAAAGTTTATAGACAACAAAACCGATTATTAGTCTCTGATGATCGATTTCTTAAGATAAGGAATAAGGTCGAAAAAGACATAATCTGCTATACCATAAAAGAAGATTATCGGTCTGCGCAATATTATCACAGTCGTAAATCTGTTATGCACACAAGTTATATTTTTCCAAATTTTCCTTTATTTTCAAAATAAATTTTTTCCCGTTTAATGATAATCATTAAAGTAATATACTAAAAACATAAATGACTATGATCTGACGAAATCCTAAAAAATAAATTTTCATGTTTAATTAAAGATAAGCACAATTTTTTTTCGAAAAGAGTTAATTTCATTTTTTAACAATATTGCATCATTTTCTTATTAAAAGATGATTTAACCTTTGATTTTTATAATTTCATTATACAAAATCCATGGAATGTTTTGAACACAACTTTCTAAATATATTTTCGTTAGTTTCTACATAAATTTACCTTTATAATCAGACGCAATATGAGAAATGTCTACTGTAATTTTGAAATGATTCATAATTCAAATAAATGTGGAAATTTGCATTTACTTAAATGCAAGTTGCTTTTTCAAAAATAGAGGAAATTGAACTTTATCTTAATCTTATAGCTTTTCAAATTTGGACGAGTTTCAAAATTATTGTAAAAATACAAGAAAAAATTTTCATTTAAAATTTGAGATTAAGATATACCTGTGCAATAATTGCTTTTAATAAGCTTTAAATTATCTCGGAATTACAAAAAATAAACTATAAAGTTTTACAACTTTAATTCTCACAGAAAAACCTTGACAATGACATCAGTTTTTTATTTAAACCCGAATTGAAAGTCACATCGCATGTTCCACGGTTGTCGCCAAAACATATAGTAGAATAAGATGTTTAACAAATATTAAATGTGATATGAGAAAATAAACTTTAATTAGATAAATATATAAACACTTTAAAATTCATAGTGCGACCTCGAAAGCCGGAAATGATCATTCGCGAGAACGAGCCGAAAGAGCTGCCACCCGATGTGGTCAGAGGTAAATTGATCGAGTGCCCTGCAGACGTTTTTCTTTTTCGTTTTTCTCGTTCTAACAATCGTTTGCAAAATAAATCTTTTGATTTGCAATTTAATCGATAGAATAAATGTAACAATGTTTAAAAATGTTTTCTAATAACGCTATTCAATTAGATAATTTATTACCTAATTAATAACACACACAATAAACAGAAGACCTGTTAGTATTTTTAAAAGCATGTTTTTATCTGATTTACAGCATAGCATTATCGTTAATGTTTTATATTCAGTAAATCTAAACGTTTTTGACATCAAATCAAATATTTTTCTTACACTAATCCTGAATAAGATACTGTGAATTTATAAAAGATTTGCTAAGATTGTCTAACAAATTGGCTATTTTAGTAATAACTATTATACTATTACTCAACGCAGTGTAATTATTTGAATAACTATTTGTCAATTATTTACAAAAAGTTGAATAAAATTATTATTATATTATTATTATAATTATTATTGATAATTTGTGTCTCTAGAAAGTAACTTTTTTTAATGGTGACATGTTTATGTGACTATTAAGAAATTTGTAACCAATTTCAAAGATCTAACATTGCTATAACAAATTATGTAGCTTCTAAGGTTTGCGTTCGATGAAATTTGACCAAAAATGGATGAAAACTAATTCGTTTCGTTTTCTCAATTTTCTCAGCATCTGACAAACCAGATCTCGGACTGGAGGAGCTTTCCACATTGAACGTGAAATCGCGGTTTCAAGTGTTTGAAAAAGCGTCAACCGAAACCACAAATGACATCGAAAGGTCACCCTCTCAAGTGGCAGTAAAAAGATCGCCCAGCATTCTCAGTAAATTGGCCAAGTAAGTACAACGGTAAAAGTTCAAGGCACAATACAATTCTTCGAACAATTTAAAGATTGTGGTTATTTCTATGCAATTTTAACACTCGAATTTTGCTTCCTATTTTTTAAATTCTATGAAAGTGATTAATAAACAAAAAATTGGGAGTAAAAATGGCTATTTAAAAAATTACACCCTCTTCATTAAAAAAGACATTTAGCATCATTTTTTATAATGTCTTTGTTTGATAAATTATAAAAATTGTCACACAACGAAATTGTTAGTTTTAGATTTTTGAATTACAAATTTATAGCTTTATTTAATTTTCTTGATTATTAATAGCAAATTTATAATTGCTCACCTCTAATAAAGAAAGCCAGAAGAAATGTGATTTTCTCTTTCTCATTAACAAAATTCAAAGCTAATAAAAATGACTTTTTCTCAGTTAAACTATTTACTCTAATTTCTCTGTCCTAGTAAAGAGCATCCAAACAATTTACACTTCAAAGGAATTAATTTCACTCTTTTTATAATCACGAACAATAGTACCTTTACTTTGGTTAATTAGTACAATGAGAAGTAATTTTAACATATCACTTACGGCAAGCAATGCATAGTATGTCAACTACCGTATACTTCTGCGTTCTCACAAACAATTTATACCGAATGTCAAGAAAAAGTTGTCACTTTCATCATTACATGTGATTTCAAAAATATTTACGATTTCTTTTTCTTTTTCTTTAAATGCCAATTTGAATTATTTCATTATTTATTATCTATTTAATATTGACTGGAAATTATTTTTTTAGATTCCAAGCGAAAGGTATGGATATTGGAGTGGCTGATGAATCCCTCAATGGAATACCTTATGAAGAAAGTAGCCAGAGTGAAGAGGAAATTGAAGAAGAAGAAACAGAAGGTGAATAGTTGTTAAATATTTTCAGAAAGTATAAATTAAAGAAAGTTTAAATTATAGAAAAATTTTTTTTGTTTAAAAAAGTAATACTACACCAACAAAAATTAAAATCTGAAAGTTAAAAGAAAATTCCACTCAACAATTGCTTTAACTTCAAATTGACTTTTTTCTTTACTTGAGAATATTTTTATTAAAAGTTGTCTTTTAATCAAATATTTTTTCTTCTTGTAATTCAATTATTCCTCTAGAAACGAAAGAAATTCAAGTACCTATAGCAAGTTTTAAAAACTCTGATAAATCCATAAATTTTCTTCTTACGAGCAATTTAATCTTACTTCTCTCACACAACCACTATTTAAAAGTACAAAAGTTTGTAATAATTTATTTCTATAACAATATTTTTCCATTCAAGATGTTTTGTTTTTATAGTTAAGCTTTATCATAATAAAATGATTTAAAAGTTTTGATAGTTTTTTTCTAATTTAAAACAAAAATTATAAGTCAGCTTGGTTATGTCAGAAATTTTTTAAATTCTAAATTCTTTGTTAATAAATTTGTTTTCCTAAATTGAAGTGACAAGTCGATTTGTAAGAATCTTTAAAATATTAAATTTTGTTTGGTATACAAATTCCTTTAAATAAATTTATCGTTTTTTTTTGTGAAACAACGTGAAAATCGTGTAATTGTTCTGTCATTAGGTTATTTAAGATTTTTTAACACAATATTAAATTTTCCTAATAAGTAAAAATATAAATAATTGTCAAATTTTTGATATTTTTTGAACCAACATTTGAATGTTTTAGAAGTGGACACAGAAATCGTGAGGGGAAAACGAGGAGCTCGAGAGCGACCCATCAGCTTTACAAAAATGGATGATATGAAAAATCGTTGGGAAACAACGAGTCAACAAGGAAAACGCGAGTCACAAAGAGAAGCAAGGAAGGAAGAGATTGCGGGCATCCGATCAAGACTTTTTATGGTGCATATCATTAATTAATAATTATAATATAGTTATTTATTAAATATAGTTACTATCATAGTTTTCTGTATAAAAATAATTGTACTGTAAAAAGAAAATGAATTTTATATTCTATTTAGATTATTATTAAGTTTATTATTATTTAGCATTTTTGTCTACAATTTCTGTTTTAACTTTTAGGGCAAGCAAGGGAAAATGAAAGAATTGTATCAGCAAGCAGTAGCAGATAGTGAACGCATAACAAAAGTAAATGCAGTTGAAGAAATACAACACGCAACAAACGCACGTTCAATCAAAGAGAAATTCGAAAGAGGCGAATCAATTCCGGCTTCGGACGATGTAAACGAAAACAAAGAGAAACCTGATGAGGAAGTTATAGCAGCAGGTACATATTCCTTACGATAAACTCAAAATTGTGAATGAATAATTGTAAAAACTGTTCAGACTTTCTCAAAAACAGTGTGAATTTTTTTAATTTATTAAGGCTAATGGTTTTTTTATCGCACTGTTAACTTAAAAGTATTAAATTGCAACAAGTTGATACCAAAAATTGATCTAACTTTTTGGTACCAAATTGATCCACTTCAGAATAAATTTGATATTTTCAAGACAATTGTGCGGTCAAGACTATTTTAATTGGTTTCTAATCACAGTTTATCTAAAGATATCAATTTCAGTAAAAAAAAAACGTATGAAAAACGTTGCAACGCAACAATTTGATAAGTTTTTTTGTCTCGATTTGATATCCTTAAAAAAACTGTGATAACAATAATTCATGTATATATTAAGGACAGATGCTCCTATTAATATTCTGTAAAAGATCGATTTTCTTTTAAGAATCAGTCATATTTCATTAATTGACAGTGAAATTTCACTAAATCAAATTTAGAGTTAAAAAATTAGGTTAAATTGAAAATTAATTTTAATGATATTAAAAATTTGATTTAAATTTTTTACTTTAATCATAATTCTATCACAACTTTTAACATTTTAAAGATTCTGAAATAAAAAAGAAAATAATATAGAATATTATTCTTAATGAAAAATTTTCTGAAAATTTGAAGAAACTTTAAAGAGAAATCGATTTTTTGAGAACGGTATATTAGATAGCTGTATTATCAATTAGTTTAAAAAAAAAAAATTTCAAATTTTGATAATTTCAAATAGGTATTAGTCGTAAGTCACGATCACTATTTTTGGAACTGGATGCTTCAGCAGCAAAAACTGGAAGACCGGTTACACCTGTGAATCCTAAAACTACGACAGAAACGCCACGAAGAGCCAGAGATGTAAGTTTTTTTTCAATTTTTTTTTATCCAGCAGAAGACGAAACATTTTCTAATACGAAAATTTTACACGAAGAAACAAGATCTAAGCAGATAGTTAATATAGAACAAATTTGTTCTTCTTTTAACAGATTTATTTTTATAACAATTAGAAAGAGTATTTCTCAATTTATGGACAAAAAGCGAAATTTTAATGAATTAAAGAACTTGTATGGAATTGTAAAGTGTTATTGAAATCTAGAAAAAATGTTTCGAATTATCAGAAAATTACTGAAACTTTACTGGAACTTGTGTCAAGTTTAATAAGATTTAAAATTTTTTAACAAAAATTTAGCTTTTTATCACACTGTCCCTATTTTAAATTTGAATTACTAAAAATGTTTACTAATTTGAATTAGTGAGTGACTTTTCGCTTTTGAATTAGTAAATTTCAGTAATAAATTAGTAGAAGTTACTATTTATTAATAAAATTTACTAATTTAAAATACTGAAAAGTATTTAGTCGAAAAATTCAACTAGGTACTAATGTGTAGTTGAGTAGAAAGTAGTTAAATTTATTACTTTATTACTTATACCAACAATGTTTGTATAGTTGATTTTACTTTTTTTTATGTAGTTAAAAATTGTTCAGTTGACTAAAAAAAGTAGTTAAATTAAAAAAACAACTAAATAGTCTGATTGCACAAACTGGATTCTTACTTCTTCTAACTACTTTTTGGTAGTCAACACAATTTTTTAAATACAGTTGAGGACTTATTGAATTATTGAGAGTAGTTGAAAAGTAGTCAAATCTAGAAATTTTTTGAGTGAAGCAAAAAGTCAGTCACTAATTCAAATTATAGTAAACATTTTTAATAATTCAAATATAGAGAGCAAATTGTAAAATACTGTTTTTTAATTTTACATCTATTTTCTTTTGCCATGAGAAGAATTTTTGCAACAAGATTTGTTGGTTCTACATTAACAATCCGATTGTCAATATAACAATCTCTTTTCTCCGTGTATTACTCTCTACATCTGAATTTGTCACTTTTGATTAACGAAATAGGACAAATTCGTTTATTAAATGAATTAGTAAGAAGTTAGATGATTAAATGAATTAGTTTTGACTAATTTTTGTAGTCAAAAACTGTAGTAGAAAACTACTTATGTTAAGGATACAATTTCAATTAGTAACGTTCACTAAACGATTTAGTAACTTGAATAAATGAACTAGTAGTTCTTGACTAACAATTAGTCAAAACGCTTAAATTCATTTAGTGATCGAATCAACCCTATTTTATTAGTAAAAAGTGACTAATTCAGAACTAGAGAGTAAAAAATGTTACGATTAATAAACTTTAAGACCAATAGAAGATTTAACAATTCATCAAAGACTTTAAAAAGCAAAAAATTTATTATATATAAAACAAAAAAGTACCTCATTTAAACGTAAATGATAAATATTACAATATTTGAGAGGGCAGTGCCATATAAGCACACAATTAATTTTAATGCGATTTGGATTTTTATTTTACGATTTGCTAAATTTGCCCTCGCTAATTTTTGATCATTTAATGAGGTAACTTGATGAGTAGATACTTTAAAAAAAGTATCTAATCAAATACTGCGTAGCAATATCATAAAAGTGTACGTGTGTAAGAAGGCGTTCATGGGCCGTCAAGTTTCGGACGATGTTGTACGCAGTTCGGACACAACTGCGGAGGTGCAGGTCGAGACCTCCGACATCTCAAACAAATTTAAGTTCTTCGAGACCTACAAAGAGCCTGAGAAGCAAAGAAGGCAATTTCGCATTACTCCCCCTCGCGATGGTCAAACCAAGGTTCGCTCGTTGACATTTTTTCAGACAGTGTTTTCCACTAACAATGTTTTTTCGTATTTTTTAACGTTTGCTAATTACCTTCTGCAAGGGAATTCATTTAAAAATAAAACCCTTTTTTATATTTTTATTTTGCTTTATTACTTCTATAACAATGAATTTTCTCTTTAAGTTTTCTAAAAATTAAAACACAAAAGATTGTTAGAAGTTTCTTTTTTTTGACCCGCATGCTGACTGTCTTAACCCAAGATAATAATTAATAACGAATGAATTAATTTGTTCTCGTATTATCATTATCAAAGTTATTTATTTTGCAAAGAACAACAACTTAAATACCTATACTTTTTTATACTTGTATTCATCCTGTGATCTACAAGTTTTGAAAGTTCAATAGAACAAAATATTTTTTCTTGAAAATACTTTTATGAATTACTCGTCGTAATGAAAATTAAGGTCTTAAATTTTACATTTAGAAACTTTATCAGAGTTGCCACAAAACTTTTAATTTGTTTTACCCTAACTTTTTTTTACTTTTAGACAAAAATGTTGACTTCTTCTCTGATCTTTATAGAAAAAATTTAAGTATAAAAGAAGATAAAACATTTCGAAAGTAATATTTAATTTAAAATGTCAATTTATATTTATTTACAACATTTAGTTTAAAAATAAAATTAATTATTGTGCGAAACTTCTCTCGATTTTAAAAAATTTTAATAAAATTCGTAATTTAAAATTATAAAATAAAAAATAAAATTCTTTTTAATAAAATTTTGGGAAATTTCAATTATTTCTAAAAATTTAAATTATTTGTTTATAAACATTCAATCATATTTAAAAACAGGATTGAAACATTTTAAAAATCTAATTTTTCAGAATATAAAATAAAGCTTTTCAAAACGTCAATATTTAAAAAGAAAATTTTAATTTAAATCGTTTTAAAATTAACTATTAGTTAATTTAATTTTTTTTAATTATAACTCTTTAAAAATTATTAAATTATTTTATATGCAATTTGAACCTGTTCATGATGTTTTTCACACTAAAAAACATTATGAACTCATTTGTTTGTTAACCTTTGTAAAATTTAATTATTTATAATTTGTTAAATTAAAACTCTTTGAAAATTCGATTTTTTAACTCTAATAAAATTAATTTAAAAAGTTAATTATTTTCATATTCGATTTCATAAAATTTCAATTAATTTCATAATTTATTTATAAATTTTTGTTAAAAATTCAATTATATCTTTAAAAAGTTAAATTAAAATGTATCAAAACTAAAATTAAAATAATTTTTTATATAAATATTTAATTATTATTAATTTTTTTACCTCCATTGAAATTTGATAATTTATTAAAAAAAATTTTTTTTAAATTCAATTATTTTTAAAAAATTTAATTTAATTTCTCAAAACTTAATTTTTTAAAAAGTTTTAAATAAAAGTATTGAAAATTTAAGTAATTTGTAAAATAAATATTTAATTATAATTAATGTTTTTACTATAATTGAAATTTTCAAAAATTTTGTTATAGAACATTTTAAAATTGTATTATTTCTGATAATTACAACTTGTTTTTAAACGAAATAATTTCCAAGTTTAATTATAATAATACCTAAACGTACCAATTGTCGAGGATGGCTTCTGTTGTCGAGTAAACAAACTTTGAATTTTATTTAAACATTGTAGCACATTGTAAATGAAAAAAAATGATAAATATTAATTTTCTTATGCGTTATAAATGTGAAAAAATATATTAATATTATATTCACAAACAAATGAGACATTTTAGACAATATTTTCTGGTTATTACCATGGTAACATCGACAAATGGGACACCCTCGGCAATTGGTACACTTACCCTATTAAGAAAATTATTCTGAAATTTAATTATTTTCAAAAATAGAATTCAAGTCAATTTTACTGATTCAAATTTCAACTAGATGATTATGAGTGTATCTGTATGTAAATTAATTTTGCAGATTTCTGTTTTATCTCTTTCTCTTGTGGATGAATTTAAATTCTGCATTGAATTTAAAATTCTTGTTTCAATTTAGGAGATTCACAGATAATTTTACGTTGATTTTTATCACTATTAGAAACACGGAGACGGGGTTAATTTTTAAATTATTTTTAGTAGAATTCTGTCTGTATGAAAATATTGTCAAAAACAAGTATAACAAGTTTTAAAAAGTAGATAAATTTAAAAACTTACATATTTCGATGAGTATAGTACTCTCCGGTCGCCATCTAAAAATATAATAAAGATCTTTGTTAATAAGGTAAAATAAATTCGAAATAGTAAAATAATTACAAAATTATTAAAATTAAAATCTAATTTTAAAATACACGAAATAAGAAATATATTTTAAATTGCAAAATTTTCAAAACGCACTCATGATACATTCTCCGAGTTGATTTCTCATTGTGATTGAATTTTTTAATAAATTTGCGACACCAACCCGAATTGCCGCATAAATCCAGATGTAAATTTAATTTTGGGCGTACCTTTAAATAAAATTATTTTTTCATTTTACATATACCTAGGCTTGTCATCATCGCCCATACCATATTGAAAAAAATGAAAATAAATTTTGTGACCCAGTTCATTTGCTCTTAACACACAATAAAAAAAATAATAATAATAATATTATCTGAAAGGGGGCTAAGGCAAAATGAGTAAAAGGATACGCACAAAGTGCTTTTTATTTGATTTGTAATTCCCTCAACTTATACACAGAGCAACCTTACAATTAGGGATATTCGATGTGTGGATGCGGTACGAAGTATAGTATGTATGAATATTTTAAATATGTATCTGTACATTACTCGCACACAATAAGAAGGGGTATGAACGAACATCGTATGGGACTGTGGGACATGGTAGTGCAGACACTTGATTCCTTAACTGTCCTTGAACCTTGAGAAGCAAGCCAGACTTACCGTTAGTATACCCAGATCCTTCTATTCGTAAAGAGTTAGCCGGGCGACACAACATTTTTTTTAAATAGAAAATAATTATTCAGATACTAAAAGAATATTTTAAATACTTATTTAAGTGAATTGCAATTCCAATTTTTATTACTCCGCAAAGTGATTTTTTAGTGCTTTCAACAAAGTTTCAGAAATATATTTTTATACTTCGAGAGACCGGTTGCTGAAAAGAAAGGTAAATTTTTGGGAGCGAAGAAACATTATCCTTTAAGAAGGGCCAAATAATTCCAGATGTTTCACCTCTTTTACATCTTTTCAATCATTTTTATTTATTAACTGTATTTTTATTTTATATTTCATTTTATTAATTTTATTAGTATTCAAAAAGAATGGAATTTTTCTATAATTAGATTACAATTTGTACATTTACAGTTTCAATGGTTAATATCACTTAAGTGGGACATAAATTTTAAGTGCATTTAATTATATTTTAAATTTATACATACATACAGTGTTTATGTGTGTAGGTATAATTTACAAAAGTATTAAAGAATTTTTATTTTGTTGAAATTAAAATAATTTTTAAAACTACATTCTGAACTCTGTGCTCCGAAATTCATTTATATGACTTTAAATTTCGTAAGCTGTATAAATGGAGATTAAAATGGCGTGAAAAGAAGGTAGTCGTGAAGATCTATAGTTTATGGAATGCAGGGCAGGTATAATTTACAAATGGTAAAGATGAATCATCTTTCGAAGCAGGGGATAGAAATTTAAGACATCCTCTCCATTGATAAAAAGTCTACAAACTCTTTGTTTACTTTAATTCATTATTTCCATTTAATTTCATTATTTCAATACTAACGATACTTTTTATTTCCCTAATAAAACTATTTACAACCATAACTAACACCCAGAAAAAAATTTGTTTGGAAAAAATTTTTTTTGAAATCAAATGCAATGCATTTGATTAATTTAACAAAAATTTAACACAATTTTCTCCTGAGTGAAATTACAATTTGCCTTTTGTTAAAACCGTTTTTTTAATTATTTAGGCACATTTACGCCTTTTTATTATGTTTTTCAGTAAAAAATAATATCTAAATTATATTCTTATTAATTCTCAAGAATTTAGAATTTACTTATCAAAATGTATAAAAAGTTTACTGAAAAAAGCAATTAAATTTGATAAGGTTGAAGGATAAACAAATTGCATAAATTTATTGTCAACCAACGGCAAAACTAACTTTTTAATTGTCTTGGAGTTTCAGTAGTAAAATATAATTTTATTATTGGACTTGCCTTGCTTTTATGTTGGTCATTCAGTTTTAAAAATCAAATACTAATATTTTCTTCGACATATTTTTTATTCTTCTGACTTGAAGAGTTTATGTGCTGTGTTAAATTAATCTAAAAAAATTATTTCCCTAAAACTTGAAATAGAGTGTGCCATTCGAAATTGGAATTTATTTACAATTCGCAGTAAACTATAAGGTATCAGAAAGCATTTCAGCTTGAATTTACATCAAAACAGGTTGAGATTAATTTTTTGAAATAATTTTTTGAATTAATTTTTTAAATTAATTATTTCTAATAAAAGTTTTTCCGAATCGAAAGTAATTTTGAAAAAATAATCCTTTCTTGATGGTTATTTTAAGACATTTTGATGTTAAAATAATACCCGATAATTTACTGTGCAACCATTTACTAATGTTTAACAGCATTTTTCGAAAAACAGCATTATTATTCTGATGAGGGAACAAAAGTTTGTAATATTGAAAATATATTTTGTCTGTAGATGAATTCTCCCGACCGAGAAGTTTACCGCGACCCGGATGTTGTCAGAGCTGAAGACAGGGTTGACGAAGTGGTTCACACCGATACAGCCAGAAAAATGCTGTCAATTTTCCGACAAATGGAGGAAAATGCCAGCAAGGAAGATATTCCAGATGGACCCAAACCTCTTAAGCGATTCACTCCACCACCCGAAGACAAATTCTCAAAACCTACCGCCTCAGAATCTGAAGATGAGGAGGAGGAAGAAGCTGAGGACTCGGAAGACGATGACCCCAACTACGTCAGAGCTTCCGATAAGGTTTTTATTCTTTTTATCAAGACTTTTAAGTAGGGATCACAGAAAAAAGGGTTTTTTTAATTTCTGAAAAGGGGATTTTTCAAACTGAGTTAAAAAATTATTACATTACAACAAATTTATTTTGAAAGATTTTTCACTTTTTCTGTTAATTGCAGCTTTTTGAATCAGACTTTTTTACTTTTCGTTATAAGCCTAGTTTTCCTCTAAAATTTCATAAATTATACAATATCCAAAATAAATTAAGGACATAAAGAGAATGTGTGTGTGTGTGAAGATAAGAAATCGTTCTCGATAAAATACTAAGATTAATATTATATAAATACAGTCTTTATTTTAATTCATTTTTCTAACATGGTAACAGTCCGTGATCGTGTCCGGTTTACTAAGAAAATTTCTGTTTAAGTAAAAAAAAATACGTGTGCTAATACAAAATGTCGAAGAACGGCGATGTGAATATTCCTCTGTTCAATGGAGAGAACTATAGATCGTGGAAAAAGCGAATATCATTATTCTTAAAATTGATAAAATGTGAAGATGTCATAGAAAGATCCAAACAAGAAGAAGACAATGACGAATGGGACAAAAAAGATTTGAAAGCCATGAATTATATATATAGCGCTATCGCAGATAGACAAATAGAATTTGTATATGAGAAGACTACAGCGTATGATATAATTGAGACGTTCGACAGTCTATACTTAGAAGAGTCCAATGCCAAACAAATTGTGTGTAGAGATAAACTAGAAAGATTAAGACTTAAAGATTACAATGATATGGCAACATTTTTTACTGATTTTGAGGAATCTGTAAATGAATTAAAAAACGCAGGTGCAAAAGTTTCTGAAAAGGAGAAGTTAAATTATATGCTGAACACTTTACCTGATCAAATGGCTGAGTTTATTTATGAGAAATGTAAAATTCAAATGACTGAATTTGAAAACTTGAACATGTTTGCTGCTTTTGAGAAATCTGTGAACGAATTAGTAGACGCGGGTGAAAAAGTATCTGAAAATGATAACACTTCACTTGATCAAATGGCTAATTATGAAAAATGTGAAAATCAGATAGCTGAAATAAAGAATCAAGAAGACGAAAGTCCTGAAAGAAAGTCAAATGAATTTACGCCACGAGGTCGAAAAGGAGGTGGAAGCTTCCGTGGACATCGAGGAAGACAACAACAGAAAAACAGCGCCTGGGTTACAACGGTTAAACAACATGCGGTATACGATTCAGAGATAGATAATAGAATCATTGTCGCTAGACATATTGATAAATTGTAGAGGAGAATATAAAATGCACTGCTTTAAACGAAAATTAATACTGATAATGACTAATATTATAAAAAAAGGGATTTAAAAGGGGACTGTGATCCTTTAATTTTAAAACACATTTTTTCTAAGGATATCAAATTGAGACAAAAAGCGTACAAATTTCATACGCTTTTTGTCTCAATTTAATATCCTTAGAAAAACTAAACATAAATCTATTTAACAGTTATTAATTTTTTCCAACAGGTGGAAGATGAATTTCTGAAACAAGCACAGAATGCCGCGAGAGCTAAGACTTTGCGCGCAAAATTCGAACATTGGGAAACGACCGATGGCAAATCGACAAGCCACAATGTTGCGGAAATGGAAATTGCTCAAGGCACAGGTGATCAAAATAGTATCGAATCAGCCAGCAGCTTGAGGGCTCGTTTCGAGTCCCTAGGATCACAGACTACTGATAGTCCTCGCACGCAGAAGGTTAAGGTCAATAGATTTGTGGTGAGTACTCATTCTTAATTACTCTTTGCAATAATAAAAATTTTAATCTCAAGATTTATCAGTATGTAAATATTAATAGTGCAACTCAAGTGTTGTATTTAAATTGATAAAAGACGGAATCTGATAAATCTTTGAGAATTTTCAATAGGATAACTCAAGTTTTTTTTACCTTACACCTTCTGGCATGTAACTCGAATTTGAAAAATCTAAACAATTAGTTTTTATAGCACAATAACTATCAATTTAGGTTTTTAGAGCGATCATTTTACGAAGAGAAAAAAGTTAATGGACCTAATATGGAAGTAATTTCCTTGAATAAAAAGGCAATTTCCTCTAATTGGTCAAATATTAACGGTTCAGCAATTTTTATAATTTGATATACCACAGTAATGCCGCAGGATATGATGCTAATTTATAAAAAAACAAAGATTACAAATTTCTAATAGGAAATACAAATTTTTTCAAAACTCCAATATTTTATTAGGTTAAAATTATTGTCAACTTCGAGTTACTGCCACCAAAACTGCACGGTGTGTTTTTTAAAGCGCACGGCTTTAAACTAAACACTAGAATTTCTAAACACTTTAGAAATATAACACAAATAAATTAGTGTTGTTAGAAAACTGTGTGTGTATTTTATTGTATTTTTTTAATCGTTGATTTTTAGTTTGAAACTAAAATATCTACTATGACGATCTGTAAATGTGTACGTCAAATTTTTTTTGAAATCGAATAACGCATGAAACTATATTATTCTTCATAATTATAATTTGTTTGACGTTCACATCATTACATATATGCAAATTTTGTTAATTTTACTTTTATAAAGTTCGCTAATTTTATATGCGTGCATGAATAATTTTATAGCTAATTGAATAATAAAAAATTTTTATTTTAATTTTCGAAAAGCTTCGCACGTTTTTTAATATTGTGAATATTTCCAAGTTTTTATTCCGCTTTTCGGATTTTTGTTGCCGTTTGATGTTTATTATTATTTGTATAAAAAAAAAGAGAAAACAAAAATTATCAAATGACGAATTATAATTAGATAATAAAACATGATTTTGGAATGTAAATATTTGTCCTGTAATTTGCCTGCTGTGGTTTTAATATTGTGTTTGTGCTTAAATTGTTTGTGTGTTATAAAAATTGTTGCTGCCGTGAGAAATGTCTCGACCATGGAAAATCTCTCTCGAGATCAGAGAATTTGCATGGTTCTGTTACACCTTTCGCGGCATCGCAAAAGTTAATCGAAAGACAAAATGGAATTACGTGATCTCTTCATTTTCGAGCAGTAAGACCCAAAGAAGACTGCTAGAAAGGGCTTTCGGCGGAAAAAATGATTAATCAACGAAATCAACGAAGACAAAGAAGTTACTGTTAAAAGACGAAAGCCTTCAAAGGATTAAGGAAAAAGGTCCTCTTCACATCGAAATGGAAATAAATGGAAAAGGCCATAAATTGAATTAGTGATGACGATTATTCTAATTACAATATTATATAACTCTTTACGTTATTAGAGATCATTTAAATGTCGGCGTTATATTAGTTGTTTAAGAATTATAAATTTTAGAGTAAAATGTATCATAATGTGTCGCCTGCAATGTTAAGTTGCAGAACCAATAACGCATTGTAAGATCTGTTGTACTCTGTCATGTTAAAAAGTTAAGTTACAAATTATATTACATTGTAGTTGAAAACCGGAAAGAAAACCGAAATTGTTAACTTTTATTAAAAAACATTGAGACTCTAATTTCAGATAGATAGAAATATTTCCTTTATTTGAGAATTTTAAACACCAAGAAATGTTATTTTTGACAAATCAGAGTTAAAACACATATCGAGCTTTCGCGTCATCTTTGACAGTTTAAAAAAGAAACTGAAAAGGATATGGTTATTAAAATGTTATATTTATTTTAACTTTTTATTAAGTAATGAATTAATTTAAAAAAAGTAATTGATTTCTATCGAGAAATATTCATTATTTCTTTTCTACGTGCTAAGCAGGAAAAGGTGTGATTCATAAATTGATTTCTATTAAGAATAAACAAATTGTATTTCTATTAAAATTCTTAGAAAATGTATTGAATTTAAAGAAAAATATGCCTTCATCGAGAATATTTCGTTAAAACACACTTTATGAAAATAAATTATATAAATTTAAAAGACACAGGAAAATTTATCAAATTTTTGTAAGAAAAAAAGAAAAACAAGCGCACAATTCTCAGGGAAATAATCGAACAAGCTTTTATATGTGAGCAAAAGTTTCTTCTGAAAGAATTATGCTTGTATAACTTATCTTGAAAAGATTCTTTTTTGATATTAAAAACCGACGAAATAATATATAATTTAATAATTTATCACTTACAATTTATTTTGTAAGGCTAAGTTTTATTTAATGTCAAAGTAAATCTTATATAATTAAAGGCAACGTTTCATTTAAGAATTCAAAAAATTGTAATTAAAATGATAAATTGGAACATTTTCTAAATTGAAGAATAATTGATATTTGAATATTATAGCAATAACCACCAAAGAGTACTATTATAACAAAAAAATAATGACAAAGAAGTGTAGATTACGATTAATCAAGTTTTACATTACTATTGTCTAGTCTTCCGTGCTCTTTCACAATATTTTGCAAGACAAAAACTTCCAAATATTTTGCAACAAAATTACGATATATAAATTAAATATATATATAATGTAATCTTCGAGCTGGACGTGATGAATAATTGTATCATTATTTATATGTAGTAGGTAAAAATTGCAATTCTGCATTACAACAGCGTGTATACAAAATGGCGTTTCAAAAATATAGATTAGAAAACTTTTTATTTATAAATGCTTGAAACGTATTTACGCGTGTACAATGTATTATATACAATTCATTCGCATTTAATCGAATTTGAGAAAAAAAAATTATTCTATCTTCTTAAAATATGAGAAAAAGAAAAATTCACGAAAGAATAATCTTTCGGAGAAGAATATTAATGAAAACATCCACGAAAAAAGTTATTTTTTTAAAAAACCAGTTTTCTATACTAAATTTATGTCTGAATTTTATATTATTTATATATGAAGGATAATTAATTTAAGACGGATTTAAATTATTTCTATATCAATATCTGGAAAAATATCAACGCAACATACACGAATCATTGTGTGATATTATAAGATTATTAAAATTTTATAACGAATTGTAATTAACCCCTTTGTTGCATAAAAATATTTTATAAAAGACTTTGTCAATGTTCAATTTTTTTCAAAGCGACTATACAGAGAACAACGAATAGAATTGGCTACTAAATATACTTTATATAATATTTCTTGAAATAATGAGTTTGAAAACGAAGGGGTTAATGGTATGATGATGTTAAATTTCAAACCTCGTAACTCGTATTTTCAGTGTGTTTCTGTTAAATGTTTTTCTTTTAAGGAAAGTGGAATTTAAAAAAATATTTAATCCTATGGAAAATCTCTTCGAAATTTATAAATTAAACATGGAAATAATCCAACAATTACGAACAATTCGTTTGTTTACGTTTTATTGTAACCAGAATATATTGAGTGATTTTTTAAATTTACCTCTTTATTGTAACATCTCATAGAATATTTGAAATTGATAAATAAACAATGTTTTTTTATTATCGGTGCGTCAAACATAGTGATTGTAAGTCATGCTCCTAAAGTTCCGAACGTTCAAATCAACGAAATTTATTTATCTTTGTTAAATTTAGTATCTATTATATTTTGTTTTATTTTTTGTTAAATTTATACTCACACAGATTTCTTAACATTTTGTTTACTCCATTTTTTTCAATATTTTACACTACAGTTTATAATTTTATTTTATTGTAATTTTATTTTGAAAAAATTAACAGGAAATCCAGTCAAATTGCACAGAAGTTTGTGAAAGTTGTCAGAAAAAGGTTTATCCTTTGGAAAAAGTCGAAACAAACAACAAAATATTCCATAAACATTGTTTTCGTTGTCTGCAGTGTAATTGCATTTTAAGGTAAGAATCTTTAATTTTCAATCAACTTTTCATTTCTTCTTCAATTACTTTCTCAATCTAATGCTTTTCGATATTAATGAAAATGAATTAACTTTACAGAATGGACACGTTTACTTTGAACAATGGAAAGCTTTATTGTATACCACATTTCAAGCAATTATTTATCACGCGAGGGAATTATGATGAAGGATTTGGAGTTGATCCTCATAAAAATAAATGGGCTTCAAATGCTACAAATTCACAACCAGCACCAACGCCGATTACTGTCTCAAATGGCGATCTGTGATGCATTTTTTTTCAATAAGCTTGGATTCCAAACTTCTATTAGTATTTTATTGGTAAAAATTCGATGCTTCCAATTCAAATTCTGCTCAAATATTAGTCGACAGAAATTAATTTTTTTTTTTTAAACAAATGTATTGATATTAATTGTAACTTACGGGTGCTTTAAATCAAAAAGCCAAGAAAGAATGTTTGTAAAAAAATATTTCTGTTGAATTTGCGAGCACGTCGACTCTTCTAACTCGCGATAACAACGAAATTTTATTTTTAAATAGTGTATTTAAGAAATCGACTCATAAATAATTTTCTATTTTTAATAATACGACGAAGATGGTATCTTTTTTAAAATCGGCTCCCGCGATATATATAATTATTTAAAAACTATAATATGCGTGCAATAAAATGTAAAGTAAAGAAAAACTTATCACAAAAAACAAAAGATTTTCAAAATTACGCGACACTATATATTCTACAATGATGTGTGAACAAAATTTCTAATCAGAAAAAATCTAATGCGTTTTGATATTAAAAGGAAATTTTATTATTAAAGGAAATACGAATGGTTTACACAACCAATTTTTTCACAAAATCTTTTGTTTAAGTGTAAATAATATTAATTGCACTCTTTACAGTGCAATTGAAATTAGGCCAGGACACGCTCGCATTGAATTTGTATATTAATGTGTATATTTAAGATTTTTTAATCCAAGCCCGAAACTCAACACGTTTTAAGAATTCCCGTCGCAGTCTTTCTTGCCAATTTATTTAAAAAAATCGAGTGTTTCGTTTTTAATTTACAATTTATGAAATTACGGATCAACTTTTTACTATTTTTTTTTATTTAATAATGACGGATCAAGTATGAGAGAACATGTTATTTTCCATATAAGTACTTGTGGAAAAAATTTTATTATTCAACGCATTAAATTCTTTCTGTTAAAATTTACTCAGGAAAGTGTAATGAGAAATTAACTTCATAGTCACAAAGAGAAAAGTGACTCTATTTTGTGCGTTCTTTTAAATTACTATAAGTATTAATCAAATATCGATGTTATTTACATGCTAAAACTGTTTTATTTATTACCATTTCCCTTTTCCATTCCAATATTGATATTAATTTATTTAATTCTTTTTTATTTTATATTTCCTGCTTTCTGCAAAAATTTACAACATATTATATATTAATAAAAGATGTTTTAGTTCTTCTGTTTAGCCTAATGGCCAAACAGAAGAACTAAAACATCTTTTATTAATATATAATTTGATGGCTTCCAAAAAATATTGAATTAATATTATATATTTGAAAATTTTTTCTTTAATTATAATTATAAACTTTTTCTTAGTTAAGAAATCATTTTTTTAATATAAAAATATTTTTTGATAAAAAGTATAAATAAAAAAAAGAAAAAAAAACTTTGAACGAACGAAACTTTAGGATTAATGTTTAAATTAAATTTAATAAATCAAGAAATCTTTTTTTTTTCAAGAGACACTTATAATAAAAAGATTTTCTACCCTTTCCGAAAATGGTTATAAAATCTAATTGAAACGAAATTTGACTCGTAACATAATAGATGTCGTTGATATCAACCTCTTTGTTGTACGACTAAGTTTTTCACGTGTTTAGTGGTCTTTATTTGTTGACATATCTAATTGTAAGTTAATTTCATTGTTTTATTGTTACTTTATTATAAAACTTATGTTACTTTCATTATCTTTGTCTTTTCTACTGTCTCAACTAAGTTTTTTAATATCTTGAATATTATTAATATAAATTATTCTTATTATAAATATAACAAACATATAATTATTTTAAAGTGATATAAATAAATAGAAAAATAGTGAAGTTAGAAAATACTTTTTAGATGGAAATTTGCATTGACAGCATCGAATCAGCAAAAAATGCCATTTCTGGCGGAGCTTCACGACTTGAAGTTTGCAGCGCATTGTCAGAAGGTGGACTAACTCCTTCCTCCGGACTAGTATTTCAAATTCAAAAATTATCCACCATACCCATTTACATAATGATTAGAATAAGAGCCGGAGATTTTGTTTACTCTCGAGAAGAAATGAATGCCATGATTTTTGACGTTGAAACATTGAAGAAATTAAACCCAAATGGATTTGTTTTTGGAGCGCTGACAGATGATGGAGAAATTAATAATGAATTCTGTGAGGAAGTATTGAAAGCTGCCCAACCACTTCCCGTGACATTTCATCGAGCTTTTGATGTGGTTAAAAATCCTCTTGAATCTTTAGAAATTTTATGTAAACTCGGTTTCGAAAGAATATTGACATCTGGTCAAAAGAAATCGGCACTTGCAGGCATTTCATTAATTCAACAGTTGGTTGAAAAATCTCGAGGAAGAATTATTATTATGCCGGGGGCCGGAATAACTAGAGATAATTTAAAAGAAATTAAGAATATATCTACAGCTGATGAATTTCATGCATCGGCAAAAAAGTTTAAAACATTTTCTAAACAATCGGATGGTGTAAAAATTGGTGATGGTGTCAATTTTTCTATAATGGTTACTGATGAAACATTGGTAAGAGAAATGGTGAATATTCTTGAGGAAAATCGATGACCATATTCTCAACTATACTCACAAGAAATATATTTTCAATTTTTTATTTATATTGCATTACGATAACTAATTTTAAAAATCTGCTACCAAACTTATCTCTGTTTTTTAATCATAGTCTATAATTTATTTTATCTGATAAATCAATATTTTATTTTTATACAATTAACTTCTGCTCCCAGTAAATTTTTTTGTAACTTTTGGATTTTTTCGTTTATATCATTCTAAACAAGAACTTCAAAATTTCAAAGTTACAAAAAAAAAAATCAACTGGGAGGTAAAACTAATGCAAATCCTACGTGGTTCTTTATTGAGAAAATAGTAAAATTTGACAAAAATGCACAGAAATTCCAAGTAATTTAAATATTTCTATAAAAGTAGTAAAAGTTATTTATTCGTCTTTTCCGTATTTCTTTTATAAGTCTGAATATTATTTTAATAAATAAACCTATTGTTTATAAACTAATAAATAAATCTACTTTTTATAAATATGTAATATGAATAGAAATAAAAATTATTATATTTCCTTAGCCGATGATTTATTTGACATAAAAACCTTCTTAAAACAAATTATTCTATGAGTAACTCATAGAAAAAATGTCCTCAATGAATATATCAATTTTTTTTACAAGCACACTTTTAATTTCAATTAATTTGCAATATTCAATCATTTCTTTTCTATTCAAAAGTTTATAAGATTAATGTTTGTAACCTGTTTCTATTATCAAGTATTATTTCTCAGAAATTCCATCATCTGTTAATAAAGAAGAAGATCCGAATTTCTTTTTTAAATAATTGGAAATATTTTGAAGATTCTCTAATTCCAATACTATCAAATCCAAATTTCTCTCATAATTTGTTTTGGATCCTTCAAACTGCATGAATTCAAAAGAGAATAAAAAATCCAACTTTAAAATTAAATTTTGAAAGGAAATTTTAATTGAAATAATGTTTTTTAATAATGCAAACAAAAATTACGTACATTTTTAATTTCAATTCATTACAAAATTGTCAATTATTTTTACCACGGACAACTGGTTTGTCGCGCTAAGAATTTACTCAAGGCAAGTTGGTTCTACTCTTACTGGTAAATTGAGATCAGTTTATAAACAAATTAGAAGTTATTTTACCACTTTTATGAATCAAATTTAGTAGGAGAAACATTTTTTGAAAATTTATAAAGAAACATATGTACTTCTTTAGAAAGAAAATGTGTGGCAATATAATATATGTTTATGGAAAATGGATGAATGGCTGGTTCGAAAACAGAAAGAAAACGAATATTGCTTGTCATGGTTGAGCAATAATTGCATTAGGACGACCTTCCTTTATCAAAAGCACAAGTTTAGATACTGATTATTTTACCATTAATTATGCTCTAAAGAATTTATATTCAAACAACTCGGATTTTTATAATACTCTTATTTTTAAGGTCCATGAACTTGGCGTCGGAATTCAGTATGGGAACGTTCATAAACTACGTAGACCAATTTTTTGGAAATTTTAACACCCCCCTCCCCCACGTGAACGCAATTACATGTATTAGCGCCATTTTTGCCTCTTATGGTAGACAATTGCTTGACCCCCCCTCCCCCTAGACGTGCTACGTAGTTTATGAATGTTCCCTATCAAAAACTATTTTTCGGGATTTTTAGTGATGGCACTAAAATTTTAGTTTCCATTCACCTGGAATTCCGAAGCTTTCCATCTAAAAGATCAAACATTAAAAATTAAAGTAAAAAACATTAAAAGTTTGTACTCAAAACCTTTGAAAAAATTGTTTAATTTTTCTTGGTTTCACAGAAAAAGAACTATTTAACTATTCATAAATTTCTAATAAAAAATTTTTATATAAAAGAATTAAAATTCTACTTTTTAACAATTAATTAGAAAATTGTCTTCCCTAACTAAATTTTCTCAAATGATCTCTGCTCCTAAAATGATAAGGATCTTGAAATAGTAACTAATTCAAAGACTGGGGTCCATAACCGTTAGATGAAACAGAATTGCATCAGTTTTAAATTTAAATATTTATTAAAGAGAATTCAATTAGTTTAGGAATAGGGCTCGGATGAAATTACAAGCTGCATATCTCGAAAAATATTAAAACATATTTTTTTAGTCTTATAATGATGAATAGCTCTTGCATAGGAAGCTCCGAAATTTAAATTGCTAGGTCATGTTGTCTAATCTCTGGAGTAAATATACATTGACCATTGCCATCTATTGTCTTCTTTTTACTTCCCCCAGCCTCTCATCCTGCTTTGGCCATTCTCGATGTCAACATAGTCTAAAGTTGAAGGCTCCAGTGTATATTTAAATTTTATATTAGAAAGTTTATGAATTCTCAGCATTATTTGCAGGGATGAAGCCCTAAAGAATTTTCTGATTCTTAGATTCATTTTGTTTCATTCAAAATAAATTTTTCTTTAAAAAAAAACGGGTTTTTGATGCAAAGAATATTTCATTATAAAGTTTAATTACTGTCAGGATAATAAATATAAATTTTCAAATTAAAATTCTTGAAAATTTCAGAATTTAGGTCTTTTTTATGATTTTCTTAACCAATTTTACTTTCCCTGATTTTCTTCCGAATTCCCTAAATTCCCTGACCTCTGTCAACCCTAATTTGGAAATAACTACAAATATTTTTAATTTTTCTTAAAAAGGGTAGTTGTATCAATCTTGACTTCTGGAACTTTCTAGAAACTTCATGCAACTGTCTGGAAAGTTTATATCTCTCAACAGTTCTATAAATTAAAAAATATAAGAAATTTGAAGCCAAAGAAAAAAATAATTCTTTTCAGTAGAATAATTTCATTTCTTCATTCCTACCAGTAGAAGTATAAACAAAGGATAAAATTTAGAAAACTGAATTCAAGTGAAGAAAAGAACAAGAGAAGAAGCAATGAAAATTGTCAAAATATTCTAAATCAATGCAAACCCACTTCCACATCACTTTAAAAGAAACTTTCCAATTTTGAACATATTTTTGTAAATTCCCTTTCCTCGAACATATAATCACTTTCCTCTTTCATTTACTATCTCTTTTTAGCATCTTCTAACAAAATTATTTTTTTATTTAAATAAAAAAACCTTTTTCACAAATATATTTATCGAATTATTGTATTGCATAATTTATTCGTAATACTATTATTCAATAATTATTTCCTGAATGCTATTATTCAACCACTGTCATTATTAAAAAATCTTAGATTTTTTCAATTACGGGAAAAGCAACAAGCGTCACGTGGTCATTCCGTAAAGACAGTTACTGCGACTGCAACTTTTACCATACAACCAATGGACACTCTTATGAACAATCAACTAGAAGATATGTGACGTGTGTGCGTGTTTGAGTATGTGGAACCTGCATACCATGGATTATTGCCCAACAAAACTCGTCTGTCAGTGCGGGATTCCCTTTCAGACCGTTCGGACGAACACCTTTGATTATATTCCGAGGTCTCTTTCGTTTTTGTTTTGTTTAAAACACTTATTGGTATCGTCAACCGCGTGTACAGAGATAAACGTCAACAAACGAGATCCTAAAGAAAAGTACGCGACCTAGTGAACTCTTTCTTGGTAGAATCTATACATACTTCGCATTCTCGGAGTCATATTTACATTTCATTTCTAAAATACACCTTGCTGAATTTTGTTAAATTTATTGTATAAGCAGTTTCTTTGTTACTACATAAAGTGTGTAATTTTTTATTTCTGTTTTTTTAAATCGAAATTGTAAAAAAGTGTATCGATCACACTTTTAATGATTGCTTGGACTTTTAAAAAATAATCTTTTAATATTTTTATTAAATGTTTTGCTTTCTGGAAATTTTTATTCCTTTTGGTTTTAATAATTTTGATGATGCACATTGTACATCTAAACAAACACATTTTATATAATTTTATATACTAATTGACAGTTTTTTAATTATCATTTATAAAAAATTTCTTTGATTAAAATAACCGATTACTTGTCTATTATGGAATAAATATTTACTGGCATCAAATAATTTTTATTTGAATCAAATATTAACTATAATCCTATAAGTTCTAAATGTTCAAATGAATTAAATTTGTTTATTTCTTCTTAACCTTAAAATTTTATTGCATTAATATAGCATCACGTATTAAAAGATAAACTATCAAAGATTCTAAATGTTTACTTTGTTTTTGCAATTTATAAGAGTCAGTAATTTTTATAAATATTTATATAAGAATAAAATTATTGTTTCAAATGCAATTTATTTGATTTAAAGAAATATTGTTTGATTCAAGTATAAACATTTATTTGCTATTAGACGAAAAATCGGTTATTTGAATCAAATAAATATTTTTCAATGAAAAAATGATTATAAATAGCATAAATTTATTGAGGTACACTAACATTTATTTGATTAGAATTATCATGTACTTGTTAATTGTTATTAAAGCTTAACGATTGTAATATTTACAAACAAATGTTTTAAATCTTTAAAATTAATGTTAATTATTCCTTAAATATATGTCAAGTATTTAGTAAATTATATAGTTGGTTATTTCCTAAAGCATTAGAATTAGTTTTGGTAAAAGTTTTTTATTTTGTCAGAAATTTAATGTCAAGAACAAATAGACAATATTCGCAATAAAATTTATCTGCATGACAAAGAATTTCATGACAAATTGGAATGATTTTAAAAATTGAGTCAATTAGTCCTTTCTCATCTTGTATGTAAGTAGAAGGAAATTTCTCACGATTTCAATTTCATAAGTAGGTTTCGAGTTCGCTTTTGAATGATGAACTGACAACGAACATTTTAAAAATACGTAATTTCTTTTTCATTCAATTTCAAGAATGCAATCAAAGTTCATTCAAATATTTCATTGTGTATTGAAAAAGTTGTTGTATTTTTCAGAATAGAACAAATTTTCAAAACTTTTCTAGCTAATTTTTATGACTCATTTATTTGTTCATTCAATTTGTTTTTAATTTATTTTCATTTATAGATATGCAAATCTTAACAATTTGTTAATATCGTACTAAATTTTGAAAATCAAAATAAAAAATGAATTTACTTTTTTCTAGGTTTTAAAAAGCAAAAATACAATTAACAACATATTACACTGAGATAAAATAAAACGAATATGTAGACATTCGCACATGAAAGCAAGATATTATTATTAGAATACTATATGGATAAAATTTGTGCGTAGAAAAAATTATATTCCAAGGTAATCATCTCTAGAAATCTTTGCTCCTCGGTTTAATTTAACAATTGCTATTTAAAAATAGGAATTGTTCTTTGTTTTAAAGCGTATTTTACTTTCAGTTTTTAATTCGTGTTGTGAATCAAAAACATTATATATACAATAAACAAATTGACGTAAAGTGATGATCAGGACTAATTAAAATAATAATTAAAAACGAACATTAAGTTGATTTTCGAAAAAAAAGTTAAGTTAAATCTTAAAAATGCCTACAAAGGAAGAAGAAATTCAAAGAGAAAAAATAAGGAAGATGTTTAGTTGGAGTATCAGTTGGTATGTTTGATTTCTTTGTTACTTTCCTTAAGAACATTTTTTTTTCTTGAATAAACCAAATTGCGTCACCATCTATTTTAAATTCAAAAGAATCCCTTTTTTCAGTTCATTTAGATGTACATTATAGTACATACTAGGATAATGAATTTTATTGACAAAATACTAAAGGATGATTTCACAAGAATATCTGACCATTATACTGCTTTCTACTTTCCTCAATCGACGACAAAAATATCTTGAATATGAGCGAAAGAGAGAGGAATCGGTTTCCTGTCGAGTTGTTAAAAAATCGAATTCTTAATTGTGCGTTATGATAATTAACCTCAGGTTTTAAAATATCTTAATATCTTATTTTTTTATAAAAAATTTTACAGTGAAATTTTTTTCATTTCACATGATAGACAAAACTGTATACAGTTTTGTCTATCATGTGAAATGAAAAAATATAATATATAATATAAATTATAATTTTAAATATTCGAAATGAAAAGTTTTCTTTGAAAAAGTTAATCAAAAGAAGTAAAAATAACGAAAAGAGGTGCAGTATTTGATGAAGCCGAAAAACTAAGTGTAAAAACAAGCCACACTTTTTGTACATTTTTTATTTTTGAGAAGTTGTTTGGGTTATGAGCTTCATATATAGGTAACTTTAGCTTGTACAAAGTCTCGAGCTGAGTAAAGGTGTCCAGTAAAAAATTCATTATATATTTTTTAAAAGAAAAAAAAATTACAAACGGTATTTTTATTTTGTTTTGTTCGATTCATTTTTTTGCATTAACGTTTTTCGGATTTAGGACAAAATTTATTTTTACACATCTTTTTTAATTACTGCGATTAAAATACAAAAGAGTTTCTTGTTTTTTTCTCTTTAAATTATTATATAAAACTCAGTTCCTTTAAATTTTGTTTTCTTCTTAACAATTTCCCAATTTCTGTATTATTTTTCCTCTTTTACGTATTTTTTCAATTATTTCCACTACTCATCATTTCAAAACAAAAACCTTCATATATATAAACACTTATGAAACGAACCGTACAAATTACCTCATTTCCACAAATTCTTTTACGAGAATTATTATTTTCAAGTATGACAAGAAATTTTCATGCTTAAAATGTCCAACTTTCTTAAAATTAACTCCAAATTTTCATAATTTTTGTTAATTATTTTTAAAGCAGCTGGTTTGGAAAATTTAATTTTGCAACATACATGGAACCTATGACATCAAAATGAAGTCGAGTTCATAAACGCGCGTGAAAGTGATTGGTAATCGTCGTGCGTATATAGTGAAAGGCAATGTTCATCACACACAACTTTTCTGCTCCAGAGATCAAACAGATTCAGAAAGCCAAGTTGTGTGAAGAATGAACTTTGGCTTGGGAATTTACGCTTTTCCATCCCTTTCTCCCCACCTAAATTATTTCTCTCTCTCTCTCTCTCTCTTTCTCGCAACTTAATTTTCGATTTCATCACGCTTCAATGCATTCAGGAATCGACCACCAAAGCATTTAAAACTGAAACCTGTTTGGTATCGTTAACCATAAAACCGGTTTTGAACCACATTACCTTCCATCGGTAAATCCCCCATGAATTCCCATTTTATATTTTGAAAAACTCCAATATCATATTAATTGAGTCCACGTTAAAAAACATTTACGAAAAAAACCCGAAAATTCGAAAGATAATTCTAAAATTTATACTCAAAATTCTTTCTTTGTTATTACTGCAATAATGTTTAATTTTTTGATTTAATTAAATTTATACACCTTTCAGACCAAAAAGCTATAAATATTCTCTAACCTAATTGGATTCACTCTTTTGTTTCTAATTGTCAAGAAGTTATTTCTACTTTTCTTTTCCTCAATTATTCGCAAAAAAACAAAAAAATAATTTCAGTAAACTGAAACCTTGTGAAAAACAAAATAAATCTGTTCCCGGCGATTCGGAAGGGTGACTACACATGAACCGCGCCTCTAGTCTTGTAAAATAAAACGAATAATATCGTCTCACCTTCAACGAACACTCAAAAGCAATGTGGTTAAAATACAGAATTCTTTTCAAAATGTACACAATTAAGTTATGAAGAATTTCAAACTATTTCAGAACTTTACTTTTCTAACAATTATTAATTATCAAAATTTCTATACTTTTTGATACATGTTCACAGAAAAGTGGTTTAATTTAAAACAAAACGATATCTTCAATCTTGAGTTCAATGTCATTTTTATATTCGTGATCCTTGAAAGTAATGTGAATAATCTGATTTCACAATTATTTTTTTACTCTCATTACACTCAATTGTAAATAATTTCTCTAGAAATAATTAAAAATAGAGAATTAGAAGGACAATGAACATTGAAAAAAATAGTACAGAATTTCTAATTTTAAAAATATATAAATTATTTTCTAAAGCTTTATAACAATATTTTTTAAAAATTTCAATTTTTTTAATTATGCTTTTTTTAAAACGTTATTAATTAATGTTTAGCTACACTTATCATTAAAATAAAAAACGAACCATGACAAAAAATTGTTAAATTGAAAATATTTCCAAGTAAATATATATAAACAAAATTTCCCGTAAATTTTACAAGTTTACGCTAAATAGAAAAAATCATGATTCATTAACAAAGTGCAAAAATATTTTATTTACATATTTGAAAAATTAAACACTTTTTTCTAAACCTTTGTTGACAAGAGGATATCCACTACTTCTACAAGATGGCAGCACATCTATTAAAATCAAATAGGCAACGTACTCTTGAATAAATTTTCCATTTTCAATCATTTTTTTGTTATTTATTGTTTTCTGAATCTTTATTCAGTTGCATATTATGTCAAATAAAATTTTTGTTTAAAATAAATAACTAATTTAGTAAATAAGTAGGATTACGTCCTTCCATGATAGATAAATATACTTTTAATTGACTCAAATAAACTATAATTGGTTTAAATAAAATTTTTTTTTTTTTGATGTAGCTATATGTACACTGAAGTTTACATCAATTTAATTATTTATATTTGATTGAAGTGTGTATAATAATAGTTTTGCAAAATTAATTTTCAAAGTAGCTGCTTTAAAGTAAACAAATTATTATTTTTTTCTTGTTCCGTTTTTAACAAATAGGTAAATAAATAACCTTAAGATTTGATAGTTTATATATTTGCAGTTGCTTTTGAATTCATCTGAGTCAAAAATTTTTTTTTACCTAAATAGAATATACCTATAAATAAATCCTAAATGTTCTATAGACAAAATTTATGCTAAGTTTAGTAATTAATCAGTTTTTTATGCACTTCTACAATATTTGCTAAAGTAAATCTCATGATTAATTCATGAGATCATTAACTTTGAATATATTGCGGAATTTAGAGTTTATACAAATATACATTTTAATTCTATTAAAACTTCTTTAATGTACTGACATATAAATGACTTCTAGTTTTATAGAAATTTTAATCCAGAATTCTTTTTCAATTAAACTTTACAAATTTTGAATGTCCGACTAACTTTTTTTCGTGAGAAAAAGAAATTAAGAAAATGAAGAATAATTATATAAATACTAAAAAACATGCTAAACTTACAGAAATAAATTTCAGCCTGTGCCCGACCTCTATCCTAGAGCTGCTTCTTTATAGTGTCTTTTCAAGTTACCAAAGAACAACTTATATTCGCGATTGTAGAAATTTCAAGCACTCCCGAACCACGTGTCATCAAACTGGAAAAGGGTGAAATTTTTACAATTACATACGATCGCGGTTTTAAATATTACGAACACTCCCGGTACCTTAAGATAACTGAAAAAAATTATAACACCCTACTTGTCACTTGATCGCGAGTATAAAAAATTCGAGCACTCCCGAAAACAACACTTACTTATAGAAATTAAAAATTTGAATCGAGGGTGATTCTAGAAACACGTGGTCGAACGAAACGCATGCGCTACCGACGTTAACACTCACTTTGGTGAAATTAAAATTTCGAATTAAAGGTGCTTTTAGAAGCACGTGGTTCAACCAGACATGCGAATGTATAATTTCAAATTTTGCACCAATTCTTCAGATCCACGCTGTTTTTGAAACTAATCCTGTCCATACAGTGGCGCCACGTCGTCTCTCCAAATCTGAAAATTCGAAATAATTTTTATTAAATACAAATAAATATATTGTATAGATAAAAATATTTTGTGCTGAAAATTACTAACACTAAAAGTTAGCAAACATTTTCTACCTTTTAAAATAAGTAATGTAATGTTTTAATTAAAATAAGGAATGAGTCGGTGAGTTGAGTCCAACACTCAATTTTTGAAACACGTGGTTATACAAGAATTAAACGTTCAAAAATTATTTTTATAAATTTTGCACCAATCATTTTCTATACCTTTTGTAAGATGTGTCTCACGTAAACATAAATTTCCAAATACGGCATAAAAACTAATTTATATTTTCAATTAAAACATTTGATGATAATGTTCATACAAATATTGTGATATAACAAGTGAAATCATACAAACATTTAAATTCGCATAAAGATTGCATATCAGAGTGAGAGAAAAAAGAGAGAAGCGTCTGATTTTCATGAGACAACCACAATTTTAAAAACTCGACAATTTAAATTTTAATCTTCTTTTCAGTATTAATTTAAATATTATTCCTATGAATTGATAAAAATTTAATTCCTTTTTTATGAAATTGGAAAATTTTTACTTTATAATCCAAAACCCAAAGATATTTTCTTAAAATATAATTAACAGTATTTGCATATATACCTATCTACGCAGAGCTAGATTGCAGCATAGAAACAGAACAATGCTTGACATATTAGACATGTAATAATAATTACAAACTTAAAAACTGAAATATAACAAATTTAACAAACAGGATGGAATTATGGAAGAAACAACAAGTTAGATCGCTTTCGTATACAATATATACAGACTCATTTGTACATGCTTGCACGCACCAATAACCAATGACATTTTGAGATTCTCACAATGATTCA